TTTGTTCTCTCATAAAATCATATTTAATGTAGAAATTATACAACTTGATACTTAACACTTTTAAGACTCTCTCTCTCTCTAGAAAAAGGAAGAGAATTTTTTGAAAGAGTGTCTAACTGTTGTATATTGTGACAAGGGAACCTGTTTTATTATGTTTTTGATGAAGGGCCGGACGCATGTTTCCCGATATGTGTTCAGTTAGTAATATCACGTTAAGATTTGCCTGCTCCCTTAAGAGCGCTCATCTTTAACATTGTGTTATTACTTTACATTAGAAAACAACTGAAAAGAATCTACTTTTATGATATTTAAGCATTTATATTAAAATATAAAATATTTTATATTAAAATATAAAAACTTTTATGTTAAAATATAAAAAACTTATATTAAAATATAAAAATTTTTATAATAATATATATAAAAAATTTTATATTAAAATATACAAAAAAAATATATAAATTTTTATAATAATATATATAAATTTGTTTAATAAATTATAAAAAATTTCTTATTAGAATATAAAAAATAAAAATAAAATATTTTAAAACATAAAATATTTTTATATTAAAAAATAAAAAATTTTCTATTAAAATATAAAAAATTTTTATATTACAAATTAAAATATATTAATGAAATAAAAATAATAGTTTTCTACTAAATATTAAAATACAAAAAATATTTTTATATTACAATATAAAAAATATTTTTATAAAGTTTACATATTCAAACCAATATTAAAATACACTGAGAAAAATTTTAAGTATAATTTAATTGCGATCGCTACATCTAAATATAGCCATATACTATGATGTTCACACCTAACTCAATATCAAATGGTAAAACCACACATTTTGCGATAATTTTATTCCAGACCTGTTTAAATGGTCTAGAATGAAGTACTTCGTATTTTACACAAGCAAAAACTTTTAATCGCACAAATCTTTAGAAAATAAATCGGTTTGTACACTTGTAAGCATAATGATTTGCTTTTAGTAAATGTAAGCGGTAAGTGGTTTTTTATTTTACTTTTTTAATAAAAAAATTTTACTGCAAATAATTAAAATTCTGAAATTATTAATTTTATTATAACATCATAAATTTCTATATACCTTACTACTTCTTATTGTTAAAGTATATATTTTATATAGGTCTATAGGTTTTATATGACTTAGGGACGGTCTTTTTAGCTCCGGTTAATTTACTAGTACGTTAACCATAATTTTTTTAAATCATTGGTTAGAAATCTCTTTTTAGTTAATCAATAAAATTAGCAAAAATTATAATCATTTTAAAATGTCTGATTGGTTAACAAAATTTTTTTTTGTAAAAATTCGGTTTGAATGTATTTTATATTAAATAAAATATCTTAAATAATATTAAGACATTAGATATAAGATTTTAATTAAGCCTACTATTTATTAGTTTAAGTAAACCAAATATTTTTACTTATTATATATACTACTATTTCATTGTAAGTACTATTTTTTATATTAATTACTCTTAAGAATTTTATTTAATATAAAAATATTTTCAGCCTGTTATAATTTTGAGTTATAGAAACCTAACCAGTTTTTTTTTTTTATTGATGAAGATAATTGTAAACAATACCCGGTTAACCAACGTTTTAAAATAACCAGAGTTAAAAATATCTGCCTGTAATGTCATAAGAACTGTATAGTACTTATACTTGTGATCATTGACTAGTTATACTATTTCTGGATGTTTCCAATTACATGCGTCGAGTTTGTCTTATTGACAAGAGTA